AGGTGAAAACCCGGTAAATCCTTGAAGAACACATTAGAAAACTCTCGTACTTTGTGGATATCCCTTAGTGTCGGAATTGTAACTCTAGTGTCTACAACATGAGCCAAGAAGGCTTCGCACCCTCTGCTAAGCAATCTCTGAGCTACTACTGTAGCAATAACCTTGGTAGAGCAACCCTACTTCTCCATGGTCATTACCACTTTAGTTCCATCATTATTCCTGAGTTTAAGTTGTCTCGTATTATACTTCAAGCTGACATCGTGCTCTAAATGCATTCTATGTCCAAAATCATATTGAACTCTTAGAAAGGAAACTACATCAGATTAACTAAGAAGGTTTGACCCTAGATCTCTATTGATCAATGGTGATGAACTTTATCGATAAGGACATCCAACCCCAGGGGACTAGACACTCGAACCCTTATTTCTAAATCCTGGCTGGAAAATTTCTTTCTCAGATCAAGTTATAACATATATAGGAATGGGTGGAACCTGGATCTACCGACGCAATGACATGAATGGAAAATACTGTAATATACTTGAGATCACTGCAGCATCGTACTCCTCCTGGGCTCGAACGATGTACTGGCGTGAAGCCACTCTAGGCTTTGTAACTTCCACAGATCTCACGATACCCCTACTGAATTGCCATGAAGTAGTCCCTCCAACTCTTGAGGACCCTTGAACTCGCTGGATAGATGATATTAATCTCTACATCGAAGAGGAGGCTACATCCTGAGCTATAGGAAAATCCCTAACAAAATACTCCAGTAAATAATAGTTGAAGCAACCTTCGAACATTCAATGACACTCACCGGGATGTCTCTTACCACAAGTTGGGCATGCTGGGTGGGATGGAGTCCACTCCAACCTATTGAAATCTGATCTAGAAGCTGACGATAAGAGTCTCCTATGAGGGTTGGATCTACCATCACGGTTTAAACTATCAGATGGACCCCTAGATAGACCTGATGATGGCCTCCCTGTGCCCTAAAGACCCTTGGTTCTCTTGGTTGACGATTGGGAGGGTCTAGCTAACTCTAAGACTCTCTGGCTCTGCCCCACTGAATCGCTCGATGCCTGAGCTCTCCTACTCAACACCCTCTCAATTGCTTTTTCTTGTTGAATTAACTCTACAAAGAAGCGAGAGGGTCAATTACGAAATGGGTAAGGATGTCGAAGTGGATGCCCTCCCTAAGCCTCATACAACGGTGAGCCTCTAATGCCACAAGATCTGGTGCATACCCGTTCAATCTAAGAATCTCTCACTCATACTCGAGTACAGTCTTGTTGCCCTACATCAGATGTAGAAAATGGTCATTTAACTCATTCGTGTGTGCCTCTCTGATGTATTTATGACAAAACTCTGGCTCCATAACTAGCTCTACCGCCTCCCACTAATCAATTGTGTCACTCTTTAGAAGGGAAATGATACACTCTAACTTACCTTTAAGAGTGAGGTACAACTGCATAGCGTATAGAGAGTCTCCCTGAGTCATTGGTTTTCTATTATAGGGTCATCATCCCCATAACCATAAAAGTCAATGGTCTTGTACCTGTGGAGCCTCTTAACAAGAGACTTCTTGAGGTTTCTATGGGTGGGGATGATAGTGATGTGGAGGTAGATGGTACAACAGGCATCCTAGGAATGACATGGATTATCTACCTAAGTGCAGACGTGAGGCCCTTGAAGAAGGTCACCTCGATGACCAATGTGTTTCCAGAAACCTCAAACTTTAAGCTCGAGACAAACTTATCACCGGTATCACCAACAAATGAGGCACGACTCTCCTCATAACCCTCGTGACTAGGAGTGGTTCTATCAACCATCGTCTAAGTATGCAATTAGAAAGGAAAGAAAGGTCATTATCGCCGTTCTATAGACTTAAGTATTCTTGACACTCTAGAGGCATATACTCACTCAGACACTTCACTGACTTTAGCCTGCAGGCCTTAGAAATGACTAAACCTAATGCTTTGTTACCATTAAATGTAACACCCTAATCTGGTCTGACCCAAATATCTAAGGACTAAGGTATTACACGGATTACTGAAACAACTAACCTAATTTTTTTAAAAAAAATCATGTGCAATTAATCATAAGAAAACCATACATGATAGTTATATTATAAAACATAATAATAATTCAGTTTCCAAAATACTGGGAGTACCCAATGATAAACCTAAAATATATAATAAGTTTGAATAGAGTTATGACTTGAATTAATGATAGATTCATACAATACATGCCATCTAAGAGACTCAAGACATACTCTGAAAAGTGGATGATTTGGAATGTATCTATGCGATAAGCTCCTCCTCGATCCTCTACTGACCTACGCACGGAAACAAATTATTAACGCTAAGCTCACAAGCTCAATGCCACACTAATAACTATTATATACTATATGCATTCATTTTATGAACATGCTGACAAGTAGAAGTATGGGCATATGGAAGTATTTAGTACGTGCTGAGGTAGGTCTAGTGGTGTGATCTGAAAAATTTTCTACATCTCAGGATGACACCTAGCCTACCTAGGATACCCTCAGGTATCAAGGTGAGATCCAAAATTTTCTACATTGGAAGTATACACCCGACCTACTTACTCTGTCGAGTCTTAGGGCATTTGTGCCTAGTTGGAAACTGAAATGCCTTAGAACTAGCTGACATATCCGAATTTAACGAACAAATTGTGTTCACCTACTAAAGTAGCTCAGGTTTCTTGGACATTTCCTGAGCATCAAACAAAGGCTAGTTTTATGTCATCCTAGTTTATTCCATTTCTAATTGTGCTTGTAATTAATTAAGGTGTTCTCACTTGTAGACTTATTTCATAAGTTCGAACTACCTTAGACCCCTTCACCCGAATACTTAACTCAATAGGATTTCTTATCCAAATTATAACGAGGGTACCGATACTCTTACTTAGGATATTGGTACTTACATACTCGAGTATCGATACTCCCCTTGGTATCAATACTAATTTTTTTGTTCGATGTTTGAAAAAATTAAGGTGAGTATTGATACCCTTATTTAGGGTATCGGTACCCTCTCTATGGTATCAATATTTTCCTGAGTATCGGTACCAAAATGGCCTATTAGAATGCAACTCTAAAAAATGGTATCGATACCCCTCATCAAGTATTGATACTCTCAGGATAATATCGATACCCTATGAACAGGTATTTATATGCTAAGGATAGTATTGATACCCTATGAATAGGTATCGATACTCTTAGCCCCAAATGCCTTATTTTAAACCATCTAAAGAACATTATCGATACTATTTCTCCAGTATAGATACTCGGACCCCATAAATATCTTGTTTTAGGCATAAAAATGTACCCAAGACCTTACCCATTTTCCTTCCTAAGGCTACCAAGCAATGTTTAAGTCTTATGTGAGTTATTAGATGTTAAAAGGAGTCACATTTCATGTTTAAAAATATCATAAATGAAATTTACCATGAAAATGCCTGGGCATGCTTCATGAACTCAACTAACCAACCATGCACAACTAATGAACTACATGAGGTATAAACAAGATAGAAATGTGTTACCTTTGTGCCAGGTTGCTAGTAAAACGTCCTCAGCTCATCCAAGAACCAACTTCTCCTTACCATTTGTCATAGAGCTTTCCCCTACCTCTTTCACTAAACACGAGTAATGTGATAGATTACTAACCCATCTAGAAACTTTAATAGGATAAAAACATGATTCCTAAGCTCTAGAAATGGATTAGAACATCTTTGAACTTCTAAACCCAAAACCCAACTTAAACCCCCATCTAAGGTTTCTCATGGCCAAAACACACATGGAGGAGCTTGAATAGGAGCTTGGGGAATGAAGATTTTATTTTTTACCTTACAACTTCAGAGTAGGGAGTGGAAGGCTACCAAGTTTCACCTTTGATCAAGAATAAGGAGAAGCAAGATGAAAGGTTGAGTGAAGTAATGAGACAATGTGAGTGAGGAAAAAGAGAATGTGAGACAACTTTTGTCTTTGCTCCAGCCATGACCTCATTCCCATTAATTGGGATTCAACCTTTGAATTATAAAATGGGGTAATCACTCCATTAGTCCCTCAAGTTTTGGTCATAAAGAAAAATGCCACCTTTATCTTCAAATTGGGCTCAACCCAAGCCCAACTTCACCTAAACTTGGACTAAAGCTTCCTATAAACTATTGGGCTTATCCAAAGTCCATCTCGAGTTAACTCAAAATTACTAACCCGAGAATTGGGGCGTTACAACTTACCCTACCAAAAATATGACTAAAATGTCTCCTAATCAAACCCCTCAAAACTGGTTTAAGCCTTTTTAATTTAGAGAAAAACCTAATCATAGGATCACCTCTCACATCCGCACTCCGAGAATACCATATCTAGAGACTAGTATGTGCCACTCATTGAAAAATTTAAATGGCCTAAGCGGCTATTATTGTAATTATTTTTAAACATTATTTAATATATTAATAATATATTAAGGGTAGAATTTAGGTAGAGTTTAACAAAATTGAGTTATATTATCCTTTAATCTAATATTATTAAGGGTTTTGACTCCTTTAAAAAATATTAAAAGTATCATTTGTGAAGCAATTGATCTAATATTTAACTATCAATATTGTATTTTAAAAGTGTTGTTTTAAGTTTTAATATGTGATTGTATATAACGATCTTCTAAAAGGGGCATAAAAAACGTATCGAATGATCATATAATTTGTGATTAAAATCAAATACAATGCAAAATCAATTATTAAAGTTTAATTTAGTGTTTGATAGATATTATTTTCTAAATTTTATTCGAATGAGACATAATTTTTTAATAAAAATTATTTAAAATATTTATCTTAATAATAATATAATGAAATATATTTTTACAACTAAACATCATAATTTTTCATCGATCAAAAGAATGAAATAAGAGAATATAGCATGTGAATAATTATATAGGAAGATGGCTCTGTTGCGGTTTCTTTTCTAAATTAAGTTAATTTAAAGAAAAGGTGTACACAGTCTCACTGATGTAGCCTTTATCTTGCCCAAGCTCCTAAATTCACAAGAAAATTAAATATAAGAATGCATTGCACCTAGGAGTGCTTACAAAGTGCTTGACTCGACTCAAAAACTATTTGATTCGTTACTCGATAAAAATTTTCTTGACTCGTACTTGTTAAAAAATTTCTTTGCTCGTTAAGTTTGCTAAAACTTTTATCTTGTTTTTTTAAATATATGTAAAATCTAGTAATACTATATAGAACTTAATATAAACATAAATTAATAAATTTAAAAAAATTATCAAAATAGTGTGTGAAGCAATTCCAAAGTTTAAACTCCAAAGTAACAATCCATAAATACACAAAACTAACATATTACAACTAAAGTAACAATCCACAAATACATCAAACTAACATATTACAACTAAAGTAACAATCCACAAATACATCAATCTAACATATTAGAATCGTTCTTAAAAAGAAGAAGCAGTTTAACAGTAAATAATCAAACCTAAAAATAAGGCAAATAACATCCTAATTTTTTTTTAAATTAATGAGCTTCTTGCAAACTTATCGAGTTGAATTGGATCTTGCTTGACTCGACTCGTTAAGGTCTCGAGTCGAGTTCGAGCTACTTGCAAGCTTCTCAACTCAGTTAGCACTTCTAATTTCACCAATTAATAGACACATTATAAAGATCAGGAGCAAATGAAAAAAAAAAGGAAGGAAAGAAAGTTGTTCTTACTGGAAGAATATAGAACCCAAGATCCTGAAGTGTTGGCCCTGCCCTGTGCAAGTAATGAACTCCTCGGGCAGCTATACCATGAATGTACTGCAGAGATGAAACAATGCACTTTTCAGACCCAGAATAGAAGCTAATTATAAAATGATCATAAATTAAGCTTTCTTTAATTTTGGAAAATATGAACACTACACAAGTCTATAAATCCTTTTTTTTCCAAGCAATGATAAGAAGTATACGGTAAAGCTTAATCAGTCAACTATGAAATCCATTTAGGTGAAAATTTTCATTGCTAAAGTAACGTTATCTGTATGAACCATCTCACAAGGACCAAAGTTACAAGTATAAGAAGCTACAATCATTACAGTTCACCATATCCTAACATATTTTTTAATCAAAATAAGCATCTCTCTCTCTTTGAAAAAATGTTAGTTTTTCCACTACCTGTCTATAAAATGCTAAATTTTTCTCTTGTGGAGAAAAAAAATCATGTTTCGAAATCATCCTAACGAAATCGATAGTGAGAACAGAAAAAGGTTTAATTTGAACAGAATAAAACCTGAAAGATGAGACAGCAAGTAGGTATTTCCAGATATCTTGAAGAAGATTGACCTCTGTAGTTGTTTCCGAACAAAGGGATTGTATCAGGAAAGGCGGGCTAATATACGGCGTTACCGGATACATTAAAAGTTATTTAACAAATTCGGTTTAGCACTACCAGAAATGTTGAGTAATAATAATGTAGTAGGTCTAAATCATGAAGACAACAAACTTAGTTTGTCGGTTTATGTCGATACTTTATAAAACTGTATCGATCCACATCAATATAACAGGTAAAAATATGACAAAACCGGTCTCGAAAAGATAAAACCGGTAAAGCGGTACCTGATATATTGAAAGTGTCGATAATTTATTATAAGTATCGACACTTTGTGAATTTAAAAGAGAAACAATTTTAATGCCTATAAAGTGTCGATACTTTATAACAATATATCGATCCACAACGATATAACAGGTAAAAATATGACAAAACCGGTCTCTAAAGGACAAAACCGGAATAGAGCGACCATATATATTGAAAGTGTCGATACTTTAATATAAGTATCGACACTTTGTGAATTTAAAAGAGAAGCAGTTTTAGCGCTTATAAAGTGTCGATACTTTATAACAATGTATCGATCCACAACGATATAACATGTAAAAATATGACAAAATCGGTCTCTAAAGGACAAAATCGGTATAGAGCGACCGGATATATTGAAAGTGTCGATGCTTTAATATAAACATCGACACTTTGTAAATTTAAAAGAGAAACAGTTTTAGCGCCTATAAAGTGTCGATACTTTATAAAAATGTATCGATCCATAACGATATACCAGGTAAAAATATGACAAAACCGGTCTTGAAATGACAAAACCGGTAAAGCTCTACCGGATATATTGAAAGTGTCGATACTTTAATAAGTAAGCGTAATAAATTATCGATACTTTCAAAGAAATAGGTAATTATACTATCGAAAGTATCGACACATGACATAAAAGTATCGACACTTTGGTAGTTGTATCGATTTAATATAAATAACATATCTGGTGAAAATATAAAGGACATAGTTAAATATCATCTGAAAAATAGATAGAACGGACGAGTTTTTGAAATCGAAGCGTAATTGTTGCTGCATTTCAGAAGGCGTTTCTAAAGCGAAGTTTGTTTGTTTGTTGCTGCAGTCAGATCAAAAAGTACGTTGTCGAAACCCTAGTTTTTTATTATTACAGTAATCGAAAAATAGGGTTTTTATGTGTTGTTTGGGGTTTTAGAGTAAAGAAGCATTTGCGACCGATTACAGGTAGAAAGTGATATTCTAGGTAAAATATAAATATCGATACTTTTATTAAATATTATAAGTAGAAAATGATATTATAGGTTTTATAAATATACCGATACTTGGAGTATTGAGTGTTCTCATTCGTTTAAAGGAAATAGGGATTAGGGTTTTTGGGTTTAGTTTAGGGATTTTGAATCGAAGCCAAGAAGGATTTGAGATCGATTATATAATATTATAGGTAGAAAATAAATATAGATACCTGTATATAATATTATAGGTAGAAAATTATATTTTAGGTTGTATAAATGTGCCGACACATTTTGTAGTGGCCATTCAAATTCTTTTGAAGAAAATCGTTTTACCACAAGAGTAGTTATGTATATTTGTATATTGAATAAAGTGTATGTAACAAGTATTTGATTTGATTTGCGTAAACTGATATATAAAGGAAAGATGTAGTCATTGGGTGGAAAAATTGTTGGTGGCGCAGATCACTTTGAAATTGAGGCCGAGACTCGAAAGCAACCAAAGGGTGGATATATGTACTTCTAGTAAGTATCAATGTCTTTTTGTTATTATTGTTGAAATGGTAATTGGATTAAAGTATTTAAGAACTTTAAATTGAATACAAATTTTAAATGTTGATAGTATGACTGAATGCCAAAGGATGAAGGAATGTGGCGAACACATCGGTTTGGTATATAAATTGAAATTGACATTAAGTATTATTTAGTATTAATGTATTGATTAAGAAACATTTATGCTTGATATTAGGTGAGAAATGATGTGTTGGAGAAATGGAATTCGATGAGTGATGCTGATAAAGAACCTTACATCGCATAGTCCAAGATGGATAGTGAAGAATACAAAGAATGGAAGAAAGCACATGAAAAGAAGATATTCATTAAACTTGTAAATACGTTGATACAAAATATATAAGAACTATAACATTATATATTGTTAAAAAATGTAGGAAGTGTCGACAAGGTGCAGCATTAAAAGGGTGAATTCATTAATTAAACACCTTAAGGAGAAGGGTCAGTTGAATGTGCTGGGAGAAATAGGGTTTGGATTATTGGTAGGAGTAAGGGATTGACCTATTCTGAGGGAATTGTGTCGATCCTTGATGGTGCAATTTGTTGTCGAACAATGTATTGCTAAATATGGTGATTTTTCATTTCCTCTGGGGATCCCATGTTCTGCAGCCGTCTTGGGGGTAAGAAATGAAGGCAAAAGTGTTGTAGAAGTCTCTAAGAGTAAGAACTGGAAAGAACTTGCCTGCAATTATGGTTTGAAGCATAATGTGACAATGCTGAACTTGAAGAGGAAATCAAAAGTGGATCTTACAGGGGGATAAGCTGAAGGCCTGAGTTCTATTGTACCTTGTCGGGATCTTTATTTGTCCAACGGGTGATACGTCAACGAACAAGGACTATATGAAGCTCATTTGCAATGAAGGCTTGAAGGGTGAATTCAATTGGGCTGAATATGTCCATTCGAGATTGATTGAATCAATAATCACCTTTAAAAAGGGCAGCCAGAGATACCTCAAAGGGTGCATAGCAATCTTAGAGGTAAATGAGTTTACGAACGTTTTTGTTTTTTATATAAAATGATAGTATAATTATTATATAAAATTATAAATTTTATTATAAATGCAGGTTGAACTGTTCGATTTTTGGTTGGGATGTGAGGCAGTGCTGGCTTATAAAAGAACCGGAGTGGTACGCATACGTGCATGGGGGAAAGAAGAGGTGGTTAGAGTGATGACGAAGTTGAAGTTGGATAGACCGAGGAAGCAAAAAAGGATAATAAATGTAATTAAATAATATTAAGAATATAATCTTTAATTTTGAAGGTTATTGGCAAGGAGGTAAAGGAGGTAGAGGAGAAGGAAGAAGAGATGGTTGTATTGAGGGATGACGGCGAGGGGGATGATGGTGAGGGAAAACAAAGTAAATTCGACATTTTGATGTCTGAATTGGCTGATATCAAAAAAATCCAATTTGATATCACACAAAGACAATCAAGAGTCGAAGAAAAACTTGAGATAGTCGAAGAGACACTTGAGAGGCATAAGGGGGAAGTAGAAGGAAAAATAGATGGAGTGGTGAAAGAAGTTGAGGTGTTGAGGGGTGAAGTGGTGAAAGCAGTTGAGGTGTTGAGGGGTGAAGTGGTGAAAGAAGTTGAAATGTTGAGGGGTGAACTTAAGATGGTGACGGGTGAAAAAATTGATGGAGTGGTGAAGGAGGTTGTGGAATTGAGGAGTGAACTTACGGGGGTGAAGGGGGTGGTTGATGAATACTTGGATGAAGGGGGAAAATTGAAGGGTGAAATAAAAGAGATGAAGAGCTATGTAGAGCAAAAATACGATGAACTGAAAAAATATGAAGAAGAAAAGATAGAGGAAGACGAAAAGATAGAGGAAATGAAGAGGAAGGATGTCGATGTGATCTATACACCGGAGAGTGTTATAGATGTAGATTTAGATTTGAAATGTCCTGCACCCCAGAAGAAGAAGCAGAAGGTAAGTTGAATAAAAGAAAACTTAATTTGATCTTTATCATGTTGTTGTGACAAAAATTTGTATGCAAAATTGTAGGTTGAAAAAAGTGGATATTCCAAGCAGAATTGATGACCTCGAAGCTGTAATTTGTGATTATTTATGTAATAGTGGGTTAGAATCGGGGTAAGTGAAATATATTGCTTTGTGAATGATATTTAAATATTTCATGACAAAGATATAAATCCTAATGATTCATACATATATTCTGTAATCTCAATGGGAAATCAATTCGCTATTGTATCTGACGTTGTAACGTTGAAGCCTACGGAATGGGTTGGCGGTGTAGTAAGTAGAAAGTACAAAATGTTAAAACTTATTGAATATGTTCTGATTGTGTAATTAATTTTGTTAGGTTATTGATTTGCTCGCCTGCATAGTATGATACGATTCGAAAAAGTCATTCCGGAGGATTGGCTACCTTCCATACCTCTTAGCGGTGATTTAAATTAATAAATGTTGAAAAGTAGTGTTATAGACGGTAAATTAATAATGATTGTCTCGTAATTGCAACAACATGCATTGGATGCCAACAATAAAGTAAGGGTTAAGGATATTGTTAGCTTTTGGGGTCCCATATTGTGTAACTATATGAAATTCACTGACTGTGAGAAGGTAAGACACCATACGAATTGCAAATGATGTTTTCGGATATAGAATGTTGAATTTTGTCAAGTTGGGTGTGAAATTTGTTGCAGATCATGATCACAATAAACTACTATAATTCACATTGGTATCTGTTGGTGTTGGATATGGTAGATTGTGTTACAACATTATATGATAGTTTGTTTACATCTGAAGCAGCTAAAAAGAGAGTGAATGATGTTAAGAGATTGGTATGTATGAAAGGAAATTATGTTAATTATAATGCATAATTTGTTTGGATCATAACTTCATATTTTTTAATGAAGATTAAAATATTAGATAGTTATAATAAGAAATGCAATTGGGTAGAAGCATGTGGATCTCTAGGAAACCGCCCCTTGAAAAATTTCAAATTTGTGAAGCATAAGATGAATGACCAAGTGAATAGGTATGAGATGTTATCATAAATAGAAAGCTTAATTTATGCAAGTTTCATAATTGACATGTTTGGTATTCAAATTTATAACAGATATGATTGCGGCATGTATGTGATGATGCGGATAGAATCGATCGGTTCTACAGGGGTAACTGGTGATTTTGTAAGTGGAATTTAAAATTTGTTTGCGGTTAAATTGGTAA